ACTCGGTGACCACGACGATCTTGTAGTACTCGAAGTAGTGGCAGAGCTTGCCCGACATGACCAGAATGGCGTATAACAGCTTCTGAACCTAAGGGTAACGAGTTTTGGACTCATTAAGAACCTCACTGATGAAGTAGACCTGATGTTGTACCTTATAGGTGTGTCCAACTTCCTCACGCTCGACGAAGATAGTTGTGCTAACGACGCGAGAAGTGGCGGCGATGTAGATCAATAGGGCTTCGTCTGGTCAAGGCATCGTCATGATCGGAGGCTTCGTTAAAAACAACTTGAGTTGCACAAAAGTAGTATCAGCTTCCTTCGACTAGGAGAAGTGCTCGGAGGCCTTGAGCAGTTGAAGAACAGTAGTCCCTTTTTGTTGAGGCATGATATAAAGCGGCTGAGGGCCGCCATGCACCCTATGAGCTTCTATATGTCCTTTACGGAGGTTGTCCGTTTCATATTGGTAATGGCGGAGACCTTGTCGGGGTTGGGTTCGATACCGTGGGCGCTAACGATGTAGCCTAGGAGTATGCCGGATGGAACTCCAAAGATGCACTTTGAAGGGTTCAACTTCTATCTGTATCTTTTTAGGTTAGCGAACGTTTCTTCGAGGTCGGCGATGAGACTATCGGCGGTTTTGGATTTGACGACCACATCGTTGATGTAAGCATCGAAGTTGTGGCCTATCTGTTGATCAAGGCACATCTGGATGGCCTTTGGTAGGTTGCCCCGATGTTTTTTAGTCCGAAGGACATGGTGTTATAGCAATACGCATCGAAAGGCGTGATGAACGACGTTTTGATCTGGTTGTCCTCTTTGAGGAATATCTGGTGATAGTCGGAGTAACAGCCAAGGAAGGAGAGGAGTTCATAGCTTTGTAGCTGGCGGTGGAGTCTACAACCTCGTCTATCTGAGACAGACCGAAGGGGTCTTTAGGGCAGTGTTTGTTGAGATCAGTGTAATCAACGCATATTCTCCATTCTTTATTCTTCTTTTGAACAAGGACTGGGTTTGCCAGCCACTTAGGATGATACACTTCTTTAATAAATCCGGCTGCTAGGAGCCATTTTATTTCTACCCTAATAGCCTCCTTCTTGTCTGGCGTGAATCGTTGGAGCTTCTGCTTGATCGGCTTGGCGGTCGGTGAGACATTCAAGGAGTGCTCGATCTTCTCCCATGGTACCCTCGGCATGTCTACAGGTTCCCAAGCAAACACGTCAACATTGGCACATAGGAAGGAGATGAACACACTTTCCTATTTGGTGTCAAGATGAGCCCCAATCTTGACGGTCTTGGCGAGGTTGTCGAGGCCGAGGCCGACCTCCTTCATTTCCTTAGACTTGGCGGGGGCACGAGGAGGCTCCAGCACTGGGATCTCTAGGTCATCGGCGGGCACCGTCTTGGTGTCGGTGACCACGCTGGCCATCTGGATGGAGAGGTTGGTGGCTTCGGCGAGGGAGAGACTCTCTGTTTTGCAGGCATAGGTGATAGAGAGGTTGGCTCGCTGGGCCAGAACTCCTGCAGGCGAAGGCATCTTCAATACCAAATAGGCATAGTGTGGTATGGCCATGAACTTGGCCAGAGCTAGCCGACCAAGTATGGCATGGTAGGCGGTGTGGAAGTCAGCGACGTAGAAGTTGATGTGCTCGATGCGGAAGTTGCTGGCCATGCCGAATTGTACTAGGAGGGTGATCTCTCCAAGCAGTTTGGATGCCCTGCCAGGTACCATGCCCTAGAAGGATGAGTCAGAGGGAGTGAGGTCTTCTATTCCAAGGCCCGGGTCCTTTAGGGCTCCGGCGAAGAGGAGGTTCAGAGCACTTCCGCCATCGACGAGTACTTTCCTGAAGAGTACTTTCTTGATGGTTGCATCGAGAACGAGGGGGAACCGCCTTGTGTAAGGGATGTCCGCCCACTGGTTGGCCCTACTGAAGGTGAGGGGGACCTCAGACTAGGGGCGATAGCTGGGGTTAGCGATAGCGTCTTCTATGTTGACGATGAGCACTCAACGGGCGGCGAGCTTTCGATCTCTTCTGCTCTCGGCGGTGGCGAGGCTCCTGAAGATAGTGGTGACCACTTTGTCATGATCCTGGAAGGCGTTGTTGTTGTCCCTAGGTAGTCGGCGACCTCTGGCTCCGTCGTCGTTGTCGTCGTCCTTCTTTTTGATCTAGAACTCCTTAGCCAAGCCAAGGCAGTCCTTCATCTTATGCTTTCTATTCTTGTGGAGGGGGGACAGGCCTTCGAGGATTTTCTTGTACTGCTCATCGTAGTTATGTTTGGCGTGAGGTTCGTCAACAATGGTGATGATGTTGTCTGATCGGCGACGATGATACTAACCAGCCTTAGACCCTTCTGGCCGATCACGGGCACTGTTCTGATGGTGGCCACGGTCATCGTAACGGCGGTCATTGTGGCGTCGTTCATCAGGGCGCTCGTCGCTGCGGCGAGTTGGGCGGTGAGTGCCTGCATCCTCGTTAAAGCACACTTCGGCCTCCTCAGCGTCAGCGTACTGATTGGCGGTCGTGATCATCTCGCCAATCCCCTTTGGCGGTTTACGATTGAATTTGGAGCGGAGGTCGCGGTGATGGAGTCCTCGGATGAAGGCAATGATGACTTCTACTTCCATGATGTTGGGAATAGAATTCCTCATCTCAGAAAATCGCCTGATGTAATTATTGAGGAGCTCGAATCATTTCTGATAGATGCGATTCAAACATGCTTGGTGCCTGGCCGAGTACACGTAGCAGTGTAATTGTCGATGAAGACCTTCTTCAACTGTTCCCAAGATCTGATGGAATCCGAGGCGAGGCTCGTGAGCCAATTCATTATGGTCGATGTGAGCATGACGGGAAGATAGTTTGCCATGACACTGGTATCTCCCCCGACAGCGCGCACAGCGGTGGCATAAGCTTGTAGCCACTGTGTGGAGTTCATCCGCCCCTCGTAGGGCTCGACCCCGATGATTTTTAAACCATGGGGCCACTGGAGTGTTCGGAGTGTTCTTGTGAATGCTTGGGGCCCTTCGGGATCGTCACCATCAGGATCTGCAGCATTGCCGGCGTTAAGTGGCTGGAGGGATGCATCTAGATTACCGAACTCTTGCTCGTATTCTTGACACCGGCGTACTTCCTCTTCATGCTGAGAGAAACGGCGCCCATCGATATGACGTCTTGTGTCCTGGAAATTGTTGATGTGCGCTCGGACATCTTGGTCGACTTCTTGGTCATGTTGGCGAGGGAAGTCGATACGGTTCCCCCTAGCTCCCCCTGGAGGGGTCGTCCATCATCACAATGCTGGTCGGCGAAATGGCTTCTGCCGGGGCGGCGATTGAATCTTGGCGTGGTGGATCAGCGATTTAAGCTTGTCGAGTAGGAAGGTCCCTAATCCTGGTGGATCTCGTTTACCTGGCAGTGCACAGCTTTAAGCATTGCGATGACCTTGGCGACTTCTGGCGTTTGCTCGAGCCGAGCGAGCTCATTAGCTGCCACGGCCAAGTTGGCACTTGGGGTCTTATAGACATCGTGGTAGTCGACACAGACGAATTCATCGTCGAGGTTGCGGCGAAGTGGGCGTGGCCTCATTCGCTCGGCACTGTGCACAGTTGGCGTTTCTGTTGACACGAGTTGCGCGGTCCTCATCGGTTTTCCCATCCTGCGGAGGGCTATTGATGCTGACATTAAAAATCCCACCTTCAAGGAAGGGTGGGAAAGGAGGTTGGACGGCGGCGGTTTCGGCGATTGCCTCCGTAGAGCCCTAGGACTCAGAGTCTAGATTTTCCTCCAGGATGGTGTGGAGGGATGCTTCAGGACGTCGGCCGATTTGTAGCATATTGACAGTCGTCATGAGCTGGTCAGCGATCGGGTCGGCGAGAGGATAGATGTCTCCTACCTGGTCGGCGAATTTGCCCCTTAGGGCATCTTGATGGATGGCGGCCGTAACCCCTGGAGTTTCCTGATTAGCCTCTGATAGATCAGAATTGAAGGGTGGTCGGCGCTGAACCAGAGTGATCAGAGCCAATTCCGTAAGGGAGAGGCAGTCGACGAGCTTCTGGTCGACCTGATCGATGGATGCGATCAGATCATCGTTGTCGATCTGCTTCCTCGGATAGCGGGGGAGTAGGTGGCGAGTTGTTGGTGAAGATGACCTCGGAGGCGGTTCCGAGATCGGATCTACTGTTGTAGGTGCTGGTGTGGTCGGCGCAGAATCGATCTACACCAGCTCGATGATCTCTCCATCTCCGACCCTAAAGATTTAGCCAGGCTTTGGGGAGGACGAAGAGTCTACAAAACGTACCATCTTGTTCGTCATAGAAACAGCACGCACACCCCTACCTGGCGCGCCAACTGTCGACAAAAGATGCTCGGCAGTTCTCCGAGAGGTATCCCACGAAGGTAGATTGATCGGCAGACGTGCGCGTAATCAAGAACAAGAAAGCAACAGAGACATAAACGTTAGACAGGTTCGGGGCGTCAGCACGACGTAATACCCTACTCATGTAGTCTGTTGGTTTGTATTGGCTATCGTATGATATTGCGTGTGTTTTGAGGGGGTCCCATTCCCACCTTATATAGCCAGGGGTAGGGTTATAAGTCGGTTAGATCTAAGAAATAACCGGTAAGTAATAACATGTTACAGGAATCATGGGATCGAGCATATCCTAACAGATCTCGTAGCATCTTCATGATATCGCCCTTGATGTCATGCGGTACACGCCGAGCAATACCGTGCACCGTAAGTCTTTGTCTTATGGGCTGGACCGCACCTGGCGGCATGGTCCATGTAGTCTGCCGTGGGTATCCAGGTCGTACCCCCACAATATACTAGTAAATATGTAAGTGCCGCTACTAGTAAATAAAGGCCGGTTGACATAACTATAGATCCATAGTCACAATTTCTTTGAGCTAGACCACCAAATTAAATGGGATCTGAATTGCACGTTTGTATCGATCAGTTCATAAAGCAAGTACGTACATCAACAAAAAGGGCAGATTAACCTCATTTACCTAATTTGGCTTCAGATTGATTGTTCTTTCCAATTCGATGGGCATCGCCTTGGATATGTTCTTCCTCCATCTTGTTAGGTTTATCATTTTTATGCCCGCCATCTTCCTCCATATAATCACCTACCACAGTTGAAGCATCAATGAACATTTGTTAAAGTCAGATCTGTTGGCAACTTGATAATAAATCTCCTACTGTACTTCTCCTATTTCATTTAGAGTTTATTATTGATGGGTTTCAATCGTTGCTTCTTTGGCTCTTTAGGTAAAGCTTTATATACCAAACACTAACTCATACAACTGGCTCTATGAGAGAAACTATAGAGCAGAGAAGATGGTTTTACTAGAAATCCAAAGCCATTTAATCGTAGCTTCTCTAGCTACTTGAACGAAGAAAGTTGCAAAGAAACCCTATCAAACATGGTCTTATTTGTAGAAATTCTCATGCAGATTAGTAGTGTCAAGCGTGGAGTCATGACTTATTAGGTGTGTGCTCTGTTTTAGTTAGCCGCATCCAATTAATTGCCCATGTAGTAGTTGGGAAACGAAATAATCACCTATAAACAGACAGTAGGATTATCATGTATAATCCACGTGCAAATCGTGGATTAGATGGCCTGAAAATGAATGTTTTCCATGGAGGAAGCAAACTATTATTATATTGTACCTTCCAGGTCAACATACTGATTGATGCAGCACATGGAACCCCCGTGCTATGTGCCACAGATCTGCAAACCGTAATATTGCTATTTGTTTTTTTTTTTACTTTTGAAGTCAATAATATTTTCACATCTCAATTTTAATGTTATAAGGTTAAAAGTATATTTACAAATTTCAAACAAAATTCATTGAACAATATAAAGGTCCACGGCAGTACGTATGACCCACACTGCAACATCATTCTGGTCATAAGAAGCATGCATGCTGCAACTCCCTTATCTAGCTCAACAAGGAGGTATGCCAACCAACCATTCAGATTGAGAAATTACGTAGTACAATGAATTGACGATGATTCCCAGCTTCGAATTCGTATTTCCAAAATTCTCATCCAATGATTTTATATAACAGAAATGAGTGTTGTTATTAGCATCCAAGTTTGTAGTCACATACCATGCATATGTCACACAATTATCCAGTGCCTTTCATTGTACGGTAAGGACGATTGAATTGATAAGCACGTATGATATTTTACTCATATTGGCCAAATTAAACCATCTATCCCTTTTCTTTTCTTTTTCTCGCATTGATGTTTTGTCCCTGGGCACAAAGGCAAATTTTATATTCGTCTTCTTGTTTCTTGAGGCTGAGATATATCGCAATCAATCACATCAATCGTCTGTGAGAGTGTGACAAATAAAACACTTTCAAGTACCATTAGGCTTTGGTACGCGTCACGGAATAATGTGTGGGCGGCATTATTGGGGGACCAATAGACAAATTTGTTCCGTGCTTGTGCAACAAAACGATGAACCACACAATATTGGCAAGCAAGCAATATTATATGGACTGATCAATCAATATATGATACAGAATGCAAAACTGTAACTAATAACGACAAGGAGCATCTCCGACGGTCTTTAAATCTTGTTGGAGAGCCATTCTGATAAAAACGCATTCTCTATATCTCTTTGCTCTTTAACTTATTTATATTTTATTATTGGACACTTTGGAGAGCCCGCTCCGCTCTCTATTGGATGGGATGATTTAGAGATATAGTTGAATAAGCTATTAGAGAGGGTTTTCCCCATAAAATCTATATTATTCTTCATATTATGGAAGGATACGAAAGGCTCTTAGAATTGCTCTAACCACAGCACTTGCATGACACATCTAAAATTTGTTTATTCATTTTTGACCTAGGTTATTTCTATCTCGCCAAACTATTAATTTTTTATTACTATTAAATAATGGTACATCATAACATGGATAGAACAAAAATAAACAAAGAAACTAAAGCAACTAATCATTACTGCATCCAACCTGAATAAAAGCAATCTTAAATTTTTTCAAAGACAATACAAAGTTCTAGTAATTTTATTCTAGGGCATTCTGGTGTATATTAGTCTACGTACCACATCACACAAAGAAAAAATATGAAAAATATTTCATAAATAATATAAATGCTTATTTGATATCCTAAATATTATTATTCTTTTTTATGAACTTAAATCAAGAATAGTGTGGCTTGATTAAAACAAACTAAGAATTCATTATATTTTATATTTTAGGAAGAATACATTAGTAGCCAGTAAGCATCTATCGCTCACATGCTATTGGCCCTTAATCATCCTCAACGGTACTTAACAAGCAAAGCATCTTTCCTGAATTTTTTTTTCTGCCAGGAGCATCTCCTCTAACTTAAAACCTTAACATACTGACTGGTTCCATTATGATTATATATGTAGCCATGCCAGCCCATAGACATGCTAAACTCATCACCATCACGGTCATTAAGAAGACCGAGGACGACGGGTCACACAAAGCTACAAAGACCGAGTATCTGTATGTACTTCAATCAACAAAGCATATAGACTCTAGACAAGTCCTGATATGATCCAGCATTCGATTAAGAACGCAGCAATTAATCTCTTCATTAATTTATATAAATAATTAATAAACTCTAAGCAGTTTTTAGGCACAAGTTAGTGTAAGCTAGCTAGTACCTTGTGCCAAATTACTCGGCGTAGACGAAGACGACGGCAACGATGGAGCAGCAGCCCTGGCGGCTTGACCACTACGCCCGCCCGACGAAGACTGTAGGACACCTGCGCGTACCAAGAAAGAACTGGTTTTATATAATGATTATATATGTACTCCCTTTATCAACTTATTATATCAAATAAGTGAATTATGAAAATAAGTTTTATTATAGTATCTATATATATGACTATTTTAGTGTCATAAATATTGGTGATTTTTTTTATAATACACTCTGGTTGAAGATTTTTTTACTTTAGATAACTTTAAAAGTTGATTTAAAAAAAACTCGAGCTGCGGGGTAGACACCTCCGAGCTATTTAAACTTAAAGTAAAGGACTTCTCGCTCAGCCCGAGAGAACCCTCAACCCCATACCCCGTCCGCGCACAGGGACTCGTTACCCAGTGAGGACCGGTCCATTTTACCTGTGCCTTAGAAAACGGAACAAGCGAGGGTTTTTTTCCACACCGCCAACTAAAAATTTATCTCACCAAGGATTCGAACTCTGGTCATGAGGACGCCATCCGGAGGCTTACCAACTGGTCTAACATACATTGAGACAGACGGATCCGTGTATATATTTGGCTTTAGAAGGAAGAAATGTCAAGTACAGCTCGTTTCTATGCCAGCAAATTAAAAGTCGAGAACACAAATTAAATAGGTGCTAGTCAACCACAGCCTGTCATTCCATATATATATATATATATATATATATATATATATATATATATATATATATATATATATATATTTCGATACGGTGGTTATGTTTCATGCATGATTATATTGTTAGGAGGCCCAATAATGGTTGTCACAAAAAAAAGAGGCCCAATAATGGTCTTCTTGTACAAATTAAGAAATCACTTCAATTCATTCTATTTTCCGGATCATTTGCTGTAGGAATATCAATGCAGTGCTTGTTTCTTACTGTATAGGAGTAATTATATATAACTATATTTTAACCACAACCGTTTGAAGAGAGAGATAGCATATGCATGCATATATACTGACCCCCCCTACGTAGAAGTATATATTATTTATATATACAATTCAGTACCACTAATTTGTTCTGAGTAGAAGTAAAATAATAGTTAAGATGCATGGAGAGAATTTCAAAGGAAGGTAGAACAAATACGTCACCTAGCATAGCATGGTCAAAGGACAAAGGATTAGCTGACGAAGTAAAACAAAAGAGGAATAAAGCAGTGGTGTTCCTTTATAAAGAAAAGAAGAAAGAATAAAAGAAAACAAAAGTAATATGGCTTTATTGCCATGGAGACAAGAACAGACTGCGGATTGAGAATTCTTAAATAGCTTGAAGAATTAACACACACACACGAAAAGAAAGCCAGCAGATAAATATTCTAATAGACATCCACAACAACTGAAGAAAACCTTGCTTGGAGGTGTATATACGTGTATCTACGACATCAAGATCGGTGTAGTACTAACCAATGGCGGTTTGTGAACCGAACTGCGAAGACAGAGTAGTGTAGAGCAGGAGGACGAGGAAGAAACCGAGGAGGAACCCGACCACGGCCCGGTGGTGCTGTGCCACGGCCCTCACGGCGTTCTTCGCGCCAACGGCCACCGGCGCCGTTGACGACGACGACGGCGGTGAATCGGTGCCCATCCTTCGGTGGCCTCCTTGATGGCCCGATCGATCCGAGACGTCTTCTTTCTCCTCCCGCTAGACCGCTACCTTCTTGTGTGCATGAGAGGCCTGGCCTGGCTTATGCAGCTGTGCGTGGTCTCTCTCGCATTTGTTTCTGACCCAAGGCTTGGGTTGTGCACATATTATTAATATACACTCCATCCCAGCGGGATGCTATAATCTACTACTATCGGCGTGTTCGGCTGAAAACCAGCGGCAGGTGGCTGTTGCTGGTACGGCCTACAGTGCCTTGTGTGGGAGAAGCAGCCAGCAGCAGCCGGAAGCAGCCAGCCGAGTATCTGTCCATCTGGTTCTGACTGGTAGTATGATTATTCCACACGGCACAAGGTTTGGCAGCGTTGAAGTACCATGCATTGCCAACTCTCCCAGTCTGCACGTCTCCATCGGCCGGTGGACCGCTTATAGCAGAAACTTAGCTTGACTGTGAGTTTCTAATTCTTCATTTATATTCATTCTTGAGTTCCTGATCCCTTCTCACAATGCGCAGATGACCCGACTCATGCAGATAGATGACATCTAGCAGGAACAATAAGATATATTACCGGCAAAAAAAAATAGACATTATTATTCTCAGTCCATAGTATCATACCTGGTTATTCAAGAGCATGCATCGCATTAAATTGAGGACATTAAGTTCTTAGTAACAAAATATTCCATCCAATATGATTGAGAAACTAGATTCAAAGATTACCACCTTATCAGCCCAACGCCCAGCCAGCCGTATGCTTTCCGAACATACTATTGCCTCGGTTTCCTCCGATCCCTGCAATGGAGTCTTGGTTCGTTGGGAACGATTCCCAGCCGGACACTTGCATCGACAATTTATATAACGTTGGAACGGCTCCACGCTAGGAACGGTCAGGAATGGGGCTAACCGAACAGGGCCTAGATCTAAACAAAATGCTTCTCACTGTTAGAGATGATTTCTACAGCTTGCAAGACATTGTTTCTAACAATGAAAATGAGCATGAGGAAATCTGTGATGACCTCGATTTCATATAAATCGATGATCAGGAATAGCCATTGTTGCCCTGAGTAACCTATATATATACGCAAGTATACACTCATAAATCAATGCCAGGTCTAAAACCGGCATCACTGCCCCAGTTGGATATGGAAGAGGAAAATCAACAGTGATGGGCTCACCCATCATCCTTTTTTACCTTTCTTTTCTTTTTACTCTTTTTTTTCTTCAATGGAGCAACCTACAATTCAACAACTTTCTGGTCCCAAGGGCAAGCTCATAGAACCACCAAGATCATCGAAGCCCATCACATCTTCTAGTTATGAGCTCTGCCCTAGCTTCATAGCCATGGTTCGTGAATAGACCTTCTCAGGGGTAGATTATGAAAACCCCTATCACCACTTACGGGAGTTTGAGCAGCTCTGTGCTTGCCTAACCATTTCGGGCATGGCACAAGAAACACTTTGGTGGAAGTTATTTCCTTTCTCACTTAATGAAAAGGCGAAACAGTGGTACGCCCATAACGTAGGAAAGGTAAATGGAGATTGGGAAGAACTGAGGAACATATTTTGTCTCGCATTCTTCCATATATCCCGAATCGCTGCCCTATGACAAGAAATACTCAACTTCCAGCAAAAAGAGAAGGAAACCATAGGTGCAGCCTGGGACCGATTTTCAATCCTATCACGTTCTGCCCCAGACTTGTCTATACCCAACCACGTGTTGTTACAACACTTTTGGTTAGGTCTTACTAAGGAATCTGCCTTACAGCTTGACATCGCTGCCGGAGGTTCGTTCACACACAAAAGCACAGAGGAAGGAGAAGCCCTCCTAGACCGCATTCTAGAAAACACACCTCCTTTAAAAACCCTCCGTGTAGAACCCATGTTAAGCCCTGAGGAAGTCTCTTCAGCTAAGGCCGAACCTATAACTTCTATCTAGACACCCTCACCTAAACCAGAAGATCCGGAGGAAGGTTTTCAACCTTTGATCTTCCGTATTTCGAGGATGATTTTTTCAAAGATTTCGGAAATACCTCGAATTACTTGTGCCAAAAGAGACCACCAGTTCCGATCACTCATCTTGACCCATTAGATAAAAGTTTCCTTAGGGAAAGCATCAAGGAGTTGATAGCAATCATGAGCAGCGAATGGGTAGAAGAAGCGGAGCTTTCTTCTGAAGAAATTCAGATTCGCACCCCTTCTTCAACCATCCAATGCCAACTCTGTAGAACTTCGGTGGATATTCTATACAATCCTACGGTCGGAGCACATTTTATGTCTGCATCATTTGCACACACCTATTTGACATCCTCGCTTCGACAAACAAATCCTACAGAATTACACCTTGAACCAGACTGGAAGTATTAGGGGTTCTTCACAACATATCACTCTATCACAATAAAAATGAAATTCCCCTAGACTTTCATGTCTTTGACATATAGGATTTTGACATCATGATTGGGTATCCCCTAGAGAAACTCATTGTAGAACCACCAAAATCAGGAGATTTAGACGTAAAGCTAGGGAGAGACACTTTTCCATTCCTATCACTCGAACCAAAAACTCGGTGGCAGAATCTCTCTCCTACCCAAAACTACTCAAGGAAGTCATGTCGGTTTCACCCTTCGAGTCCCCTGAGTCATCCTTAGAAAAAGATGCCAAACTCTTCATTGAAGAACAGGACGAGTTAGATGAAACTATAGAACTTCCTAAAGAGGAAGCACTGGCACAACCTCTCATTGAACTTAAGCCCCTACTCGCTGGCCTATGTTATGCTTTTCTTAATGGCAACAAAGTAACTCCTGTAATCATTAGCAATAAGCTTACCGATGAGGAGATAGCTAAACTCATCATCATCCTAGAGAAACATAGGCTAGTTTTTGGGTATTCTTTGCAAGATCTTAAGGGGATAAGTCCAACCCTTTGTACCCATCGTATGCCAAGAAAAGGACCAGGTACTTAATTGGGAAAAGGTGTCATTTCATGGTCCGAGAGGGCATCGTTCTTGGACACCTAGTGTTTGAGAGGGGGATTGAGGTAGATAAGGCCAAAATTGAGGTTATAGAGCAGCTACCACCCCCGTGAACGTGAAAGGAATCCATAGCTTTCTAGGTCATGTAGGGTTTTAAAGACGCTTTATTAAAGATTTCTCACAAATCACTAGACCCCTCACAAACCTGTTAGCTAAAGATGCACCTTTTGAGTTCACTGATGAGTGCCTAGATGCTTTCCACAATCTAAAGAAACCACTCATCTCAGCACGAATCGTCCAACCACCCGATTGGTCGTGGCCATTCGAGATCATGTGTGATGCTAGTGACTACGATATTGGTACGGTCCTTGGTCAAACCAAGGACAAAAAGCATCATGCAATCACTTACGCTAGCAAAACGCTGATAGGAGCCCAACTTAACTACGCTACTACAGAAAAAGAGCTCTTAGCAGTCATTTTTGCTATAGATAAGTTTAGGTCTTAGTGGGTGCAAAAGTCATTATTTATACTGATCATGCTGCACTTAAATATTTGCTTACTAAGAAAGACGCTAAACCACGTTTAATAAGATGGATTCTCTACCTCCAAGAATTTGATCTTAAAATAAAAGATAAAAAGGGAGTAGCGAATACTGTGGCTGATCATCTATCGCGTATGCAAGTCACTAACATGCAGGAATTGCCAATAAATGACTTCTTACGCAACGACATGCTACTGAAGGTGATGGACTCCAACCATGGTATGCGAACATTGTGAATTTCATGGTTGCAGGTTATGTACCACCAGGAGAAAATAGGAGAAAAACTACAAGCCAAAAGCAGACGTCACCTTTGGGATGACTCGTACCTATATAGGATATGCTCTGATGGCCTATTGAGGAGGTGCGTACCAACGGTGGAAGGTGTGCAAATCATTGAGAAGTGCCATGCAGCACCGTACGGAGGCCATTATGGAGGATTCCGCACACAAGCCAAAATCTAGCAGTGTGGATTCTTCTGACCAACGATGTACGAAGACACCAAAGAATTCATTCGAAGGTGTCGAAAATGCCAGTTGCAAGGTGGCATCACTGCTCGCAATGCAATGCCCTAGCAGTACAATTTGCAAGTGTGGATATTTGGTGTCAGGGGCATTGACTTCATGGGGCCATTTCAAAAGTCCCAAGATTGTGAGTACATCCTTGTCGCCATCGATTGCGTACGTATCCAAGTGGGTGAAAGCTCTACCAAGCAGAGCTGCTAACGCCAAGCACGCATGGAAAATGTTTCGTGAAGTGATTTTCCCTCGCTTTGGAACACCAAGAATGGTGATAAGTGATGGAGGATCCCGCTTCATCGACAAAACATTTCGTGCCTTCCTGAAGGAGCTTGGAGCCAAGCACAACATTGCTACACCTTACCATCCTCAGACAAGCGGCCAAACAGAGACATCAAATAAACAAATCAAAAATATCCTACATAAAAAAGTCAATGAGATGGGGACAGGATGGAAGAACAAGCTTCCTGATGCACTCGGGGCATACAGGACAGCTTATAAACCCCCCATCGGCATGTTGCCGTTCCAGCTCGTGTATGGAAAAAAAAAGTTGTCATTTACTAGTGGAGCTTGAGCACTGAGCTTATTGGGCCATAAAGAGCTAGAACATGGATGTAAAGCTAGCCGGCAAGAACAGGCAAAAACAAATTGTCGAGCTAGAAGAAAGGTGAGAGAAGGCATACCAAAGTGCCAAGCTTTATAAGGAAAGAACCAAAAGATGGCATGATGACTGAATTCAACAAAAAGAGTTTAAGATGGGAGATAAAGTGTTACTCATCAACTCCCGAGTCAAGATCTTCGGTGAAGGAAAACTACGTAGCAAATGGATGGGATCATACACCGTCATCAACACATCGTCACACGGCACAATCACCATCCAGGATGATGATGGTAACATATTTAGAGCCAACAGTCAATGTTTAAAAGTTTTCTAGAGCCTTCTCATGACACTAACATAGAAATA